TCTTGATTTAATTGTGAACTCATATTTTCTCTATTATGGAAGTTAGACTACAGTTTATGGGGGAGGGCGACGATAGGAAAACCCACACGCAGACAACTAAGGGCCAAAAGAATAATGAGTCTTTCTGAAGGAATTCAGTCCCTTGACTTTAATTAATTTGAATTTAGAGAATAACTATTTATATTTTCTTCCTCCACAAAAGTTTCTAGATAATATTTATCAGCTTCTCTCACGGGAGTTTCTGGGAAACATGCACATTTTCCCCTTTTGGTTTCTCTACTTTTCCCCTAAACTCTTCTTTGCTTTTAAAGAAGATTTTCTCTTTGAGTAGCTATCAAAATATGTAGTAGGCATCTCACCAATTCCCTTATATTATTAAGCCACATTAGTGCATGCATTTTAAATTTGGGGGGTTGAAAGTATGGGGGAAACCACCAATCTCTAAGATCCAGAGTTTCTGTGAATCCGTGCATGTGTATGTGTGGGTGAGGACTTCAAAGGTTTCTGGAAAAATAGAATTAAAGATAATAAATTTTTTTCCACAGACTTTTTGAAGTATCTTCATATGTATATATGTGTTACGTATGTATGTATATATGTATTTCCATCAATTACCTATGTTTTTCCACAGACTTTTTGAAGTATCTTCATATGTATATATGTGTTACGTATGTATGTATATATGTATTTCCATCAATTACCTATGTTTTTCCACAGACTTTTTGAAGTATCTTCATATGTATATATGTGTTACGTATGTATGTATATATGTATTTCCATCAATTACCTGATTTAACTTGAGATGGAAGCTGACAGGGTTTTGAAATTGCATAATATATGTCAAATCCCTATACTGTACTGCTCTTGTATAGTCATGTCACGGAACCAAAAGAGAAAATCCAATTTGTTTTTGTTTTTGTTTCTCTTTATTTATTTATTTTAATTTATCAATATACAATGTACTTGATTTTCCTGTCCCTTTACCAGTTCCTCTTTTCCACCCTCCCTATTCCCCCTCCTCACCCATCAACACTATATCTGTTCACTTCTCTTAAGTTCAAGGAATTGTTGTGATTTTTGTGTCATCCCCCCCATTTATTTGTACATTTATTAATTTATTTACATTTAGTTTCCACAAATAAGTAAGAACATGTAGTATTTCTCTTTCTGTGCCAAGCTTATTTCACTTAATATAATTTTCACTGAGTCCATACATGTTGCTGCGAATGGTAAAATTTCATTTTTTTTTTTTTATAGCAGAGTAGCATTCCATTGTGTGGGGTAGCAATCCATTGTGTAGATATATCACAGTTTCCTTATCCACTCTTCCAATGATAGGCATTTAGGCTGGTTCCAACTCTTGGCTATTGTAAATAGCTCTGCAATAAACAATGGAGTACAGGTATCTCTTTGGCATGATGATTTCCGTTCATCTGGGTATATTTCCAGCAGTGGAGTAGCTGGGTAATATAATAGATCTATTTGTAATTGTCTGAGGAAACTCCATACCATTTCCATAAAGGTTGCACCATTTTTCAGTCACACCAGCAGTGTAGGAGGGTTCCTTTTTCTCTGCAACCTCGCCAGTATTTATTATTCTCAGTCTTTTGGATATTAGTCATCCTAACTGGAGTGAGATATTATCTCAAAGTGGTTTTGATTTGCATTTCCCTGATGCTTTGTGATGTTGAGCATTTTTCATATGTCTGTTGGCCATTTATATATCTTCCTTTGAGAAATGCCTGTTCAGCTCCTTTGCCCAGTTTTTAATTGGATTACTTATTTTTTTGCTGTTGTTTGAGTGATTTGTATATTTTGGATATTAATCCTTTGTCCAATATATATTTTGCAAATATTCTCTCCCACTCTGTTCATCGTCTTTTTGCTCTGTTAATTGTTCATTTTACTGTGCAGAAGCTTTTTAGTTTTATAAAATCCCATTTTTTTTATTTTTCCTTTGGTTGCCTGTGCTTTGGAGGTCGTATTCATGAAGTCTGTACCCAATCCTACTTCCTGGAGTGATTCTTGTATGTTTTCTTTAAGGAGATTTATTGTTTCAGGACGTATATTTCTTTAATCCATTTTGAGTTGATTTTGGTATATAGTGAGAGGTATGGGTCTACTTTCATTGTCCTACATATGAATATCCAATTTTTCCAGCACCATTTCCTGAAAAGGCAGTCTCTCCCCCAGTGTGTAGACTTGGTGCCTTTGTCAAAGATCATATGGCTGTGGTGGTGTGGGTTGATTTCTGGATTCTCTATTCTATTCCATTGACCAGTGTTTCTGTTGTTATGCCAGTACAATGCTGTTTTGGTTTTTATAGCTTTGTAGTATAGTTTAAAGTCATGTAGTGTTATGCCTCCAGCTTTATATGCTTCTGATGGTAGAGAGATATTTGTCTCAGTGAATCAAAATATGTACCCACCATTCCATAAGTACTAGTCATTTCTTTTATAAAAAAAATAATTCTTCCTATTAAATAAATTCATATTATATAATTTTCTGGCATTTAATATTTTTTTCTTTTGCTAACTGTATGAAACAGTTACCATAAAGTGTAATAATATTACCTATTTTATGTGTTTTAAGATGTTGATGAAGATGACAACCTACCCCCTTCTGAATGATTATAGATGTCATTATAGTGCAGTTAACAGATTTATTCTTGAGCAAAACACCTCTACTAATTTAGCTGATGTTCCAATGTATTTCTTAGGAAAGTTGGATTTACTAGTTCTTTTTACTTTTCCAATTTGGGAAATTTTTACTTTTATTTTAATTAGAATTTTTTAAAAAATAAATTATCCTCTGGAGGATATTTTTCCACTTGAAGCTATGCCTCCAGGGAAGCAGCAGTAATGAACTCAGGCTTCCCTCCCGTTTCCAAATTCAAATAATCTGCATGTGTGATCATAGAAATTTCATAGTTTTGAGTGTCTTCCCTAAGTTGCAAGTGGAGAAGACACATCTTTTTCAGGCAAAGTTCTTATAACTCTCTTATAGATATGTTTGTATTCTCCACTACATTGTTTTCTTACATTCCAAGGCTCTCCAAAGAGAGTAATCTTTAAAAGTGATTTCAACCATGGATAATGCCCAAATCGTGCACATTGTGAAGGAGGAATACTATGGAACCATAAACTTAAACATTCATAAGCATTCTGAGGTATACTTTAGTGGGTAAGTAAAGAATTTACAATATTGTCTTCTTACAAATAATGTTCTTTGTTCACATTTCTTTTCATCTTTCTCCATCACTGTGATTTTCATCTGTTCTTATTTCTTCTCCTTTTACTTATTGACTATCTCATGCAAAATTTTGGAATTGACTGTATGGGTCTCTGTGGTCTCCACTTATATGTTCAGCCTCTGCCTTTGTCTGCTAGTGCCTTCAAGATGCTCATCAACTGCCCACTGTCAAACCACCTATATGTTAGAGCACAGAAATAGCTCCTTTGAGTACTGACCCTAAGTCCAAAACTACTTTTCAGTTCTCTACCAAATGTATCAATATTTTCTTTCTTTGGCATGATTATAAAAATGTAAACTCATTGCAGTCCTTCACACCATGTCACCATATTGACAAATTTAGTTCTTATTAATTAAAATACTGAATTCATGTTATTATATTCAGAAAAGGCATTATAAAGAATCAGAAGAAAGTCCAATTTTGATACAAATTGTTTCTCTTCCTCATATCATAAGTGCATAATATGCATGTCAGAAATTTGTCCATGTTTTCTTTGCTTCTTTGTTATGCAGCAAATATATAAAAGTAAAACTGAATTAAATAATAAATATTTGGGTCAGAAAAAAAAAAACAACGGCAAAACCTAAATCAAAGACACAAGGTCCTTTATTATTTCCAGCATTGACCTTCTCTGATATAACCTTTTAACTAGCCTCTGTCACATTCATCCATCTTATCTATTGAAAAGTAACAATAAAAATACCCACTTAACTAAGATTTGCCTTTCAAACAGCTGTCAATATAAAATTATGTGTATTTTTATTTGGGATTTAAAATCACTCTCTGATCCAAACCTACGTTCTTACCTTCAGTTGATTAGCTTTATAGTGTAATACACATGCTCCAAAATATGAGCTTAGTGACTAAGTAGACAATCCTTCTCCACAACAAAAGTCCTGTATTCTCTGTACTTCTGGCTCCTGATTTCTAGTGCAAACTGAACACCCTTAGGCTTCTGTTGCTTATCTTTAAAGAAGTCAAAATTCAGAAGTTCAGTTTTTTACTCCTCTTCCTGAGCATTTCCCTATCTGTCTGATTTCATGATGAACATATACAACAGATTTAAACAAAGTCATGTTTAACTCTTTTCTTTACTCTTGAAAGATCAATGAAAATCTCATTCACTAGGAAGTGTGATTCCAGATGGAGATTACATAACTGACTTTCCTTTCTTTAGTGGCCAATTTGACAATGTGGAGGCTGGAGCCTATAAGTTGAGGGTCATAAGCCTATTATGTGATCATGTGTAGTTTTTTTTCGGTATTTTTTTCTTCTGATTGATAATATTATAGCTTGAAAAGACACTTTTTGCATGTATAATAATGTATAATAAGACTTTATTGCAATTCTATCTGCCTGCACTATGAATAAATACCTTTACGTCTGAATGGATTAAGGATGCTGTAATATGTGTATTCCTAAGAGCACCCTGTATGCACCTGTTCACATGACTTGGGAACTGCTGGATCTTTTGTTAGATTCTCTACGCTGAGAGGACTCTCATAGGCCTTTCATAAGGACAATTGTCATAAACTTCCTGTGAGACTCATTCACCTCTTATGAGTGAATCATATCTTGCACAGTTCATGTCAGGAACTGTTTATACACTAGAAAAATAATTATTTGTTTTTACTATCATCTCTCTATAAAAATAAAAGATAGCTAATTGACATAGGTATGGTGCTTCCAGGGTTAAGATGCAAGTAACAAAATTAGATTTCTCTTACCAGGTGGAAGTGAGAACTTTATGGATCACAGAAACAAGACCGTAGTCACTGAATTCATTCTGCTGGGGTTTCAGAATGAGAAAGATGTAGAAATTATCCTATTTGCTGTATTTCTGCTTATGTACATGACATCCATGATTGGCAACACCACAATCATCGTTTTGGTGTGTTGTGACTACCATCTGCACTCTCCCATGTATTTCTTTGTAGCCAACCTTTCCTTCCTTGAGATCACCATCACCTCTGCAGTGGTGCCTAAGATGCTGGCCGACACATTTTCCCGCACCAAAGCAATATCCTTTGTGGGGTGTCTCACACAGTCATTCTTCTACTTCCTCCTGGGAGCCACAGAATTCTTCATCCTGGCCGTCATGTCCTTTGATCGATACGTTGCCATCTGCAACCCACTGAGGTATGCCATCATCATGAACAAACAGACATGCATAATGCTGCTTCTGGGATCTTACGTCGGTGCGTTTTTGTCAGTTTTGGTACCATCAATCTTGACTGCACCTCTGCCCTTTTGTGGGCCAAACATAATCAATCACTTCTTCTGTGACAGTGCCCCTGTCCTAGGGCTGGTCTGTGCAGACATCTCTCTGCCTGAGCTGGCTGACTTTATTTCCTCTGCCGTGTTGCTCTTGGGTTCCTTGTTCCTGACAGGAGTGTCTTACACCTACATTATCCTTACTATCCTTAGAATTCCCTCTGTCCAGGGACGACAGAAGGCTTTCTCCACCTGTGTGTCACATATCACCGTGGTTATACTTTATTATGGGAGCTCCATCTTTATTTATGTCCGCCCCAAAAAGGGCAATGTGATGGATGTTAACAAATTTGCCACAGTGCTGAACACTGTTGTGACACCAATGCTGAACCCTTTCATATACAGCCTCCGAAATGAGAAAGTCAAAGAATCTCTCAGAGATGGCTTCAATAAATATGTGGGCAGGCTAAAAATTTTAAGATCTCAAAAATAAGAACTTTACAAAAGTTACTCCTCATGTCTGGCAACAAAATAATTTTATTGTGTAACTATATTAAAAATGTTGTTTTGTTTTTTCCTTTTTGTTTTTGAGGTTTAGGCTATATTTATTTGTTTTTAAATAATTTTTATTGAAACATATTGATGGTATATTTTTACGGGGTACAGAGTTATATTTCAATACATGAACACATGTATACTATGTTTTATAATCAGGGTAATTAGCATATTCATCATTGCAAAACCTAATCATTTCTTTGTGATGAAATGTTTCATCTCCTTCATCTAGTCATTTATTAACACGCAGTAGATCATTGTTAATTATACATTCCTGGGCCTACTGTACACATATAGAACTTGCATTTTAATCTAGCTATAATTTTATATCCACGAACCAGCCTCTCATTTCCCCCTCCCCCTCCCCTTTCCCTTTCCCACCTCTAGTAGCTGCAGTTCTTTTCTCTCCTTATAACAGTTCAAATTATCAATCTTATTTTAAGCCCCCATATATAAGTTAGGACATGTGGTGTTTCTCTTTTTGTGCCTGGCTTATTTCACTTAGCATGATTTTCTCCAAGTGAATCCATGCTGCTGCAAGTGGAAGAATTTTGTTCTTTTTTATGTCTGAGTAGTCTTCCATTGTGTATATATAACACATTTTCTTTATCCAATCTTCCATCAATGGACATTTAAATTGGTTCCATATCTTGGCTACTATGAACAGAGCTGTGATATAAGTTAATGCTTCCACATGAGGGAGGAATTTAGGAGAACATATATTACTTTCTAATCCCTGTTCATTTCACTTTATAGAGGCTAACAATTTTTGTAGAGATTCCTAGAGTTCTAAAAACACCTACATATATTTATAATACATACATACATACTGACAGGCAGATACACACTGTGAGGAAAATGAAGTGGTTTGTTAGGCCCTCTCGCCTCAGGTCTGGTTGGGGGTGATGCAGCACATTCTTGGTAAACAAGTTGTGTGGGGATGGAGTTAGTGTGCATGCACGCCTGTCTATCCTTCTGTTTGCTGCTATTCTTGTGTGTCCTTCAGAGTGTATGAGCCGCAGCTCTGAACTGCTAGTGGGCAGAGATCATGTCTAGAAATAAAGCCTATTATTACTTCACCTAAGGCTCCAAGGACCTTTTTCCTCTTACCTAGTGTGGGGGAAATAGAATAATTTAGTCAGGCTCCCTTGAAATTTCTTGTTAACAAGTTGTGTGTGGGTGGAGTTGGTATGCATGTGTACCCATGTGTCTTTCTAGTTAATTCCTTTTGTGTGTTTTTGAGTTTGTGAAGCCGTGCTGTGGGCAGAGCTGGCCTCTAAGCATCTAACAATAGAGCATGTTTACTCTGCTGACAGCTGCTCAGTTTCAGTTTTACTTTGGTCTTTGCTGGTAGCAGTTGAGTTTCTGAGTTTCTCTGTGGACTGCTTAGCTCAGAGTGTTGTGCATGTTGAATTAAGACTATTCCTTCTTCAACCAAAACTCCAAGGACCGTTTTGTCCAGTTATCTAGCTTATAGACCCGCGTGTGAAGGGTTTGTTAATGAGCTCAAGGGATCTGTGAGACCTAGCCCTCGCTCTACACATGTAGATACTTGCATGGTTTCTGTCCCATTTTCCTGTGCCTCCAGCCCTTTAAAAATCAAATTCTTGTACAACTTTGTGATTAGAACTCAGACAAATCCAGTATTGGGTATCTTGGCTTTAGAGAGCTTCTCAGATTTATTGCAAAATTTCTCCTTTGTTTTCTTTCTTCAAATATTAATTTATCTTTTTGTATTTGATGCATAAATAGTTGCTTTACAATATAATAATATTAAACATGCTCTGACTTCCATTTTGAAATACTTCATATGAATTTTTTATCTCATTAGTTATTTAAATTTCAACTTTAATTGTAGACTGAGTCACATGGCTTCATGTCCGTCATAATCTACAGCAGTTATTATCCTACTTCCATGTCATACAGTGAGAGGATATATTTACCTGTGACAAAGGAATTCATTAGAACTTACAAGCCTCAGCTAATTATGCAGAGGAGGGATAGGTAACAGAATTACATCAAACTTGTCTATCCACAGTATTTTTCAAAACTAAAAAATTACCTCACAAAGTAAACATTTAACATAAAATTTTTTATAAGAAGAATTTTTCAAAAGGCTAATACTAAAAACGACCTGGGAATTTCAACATGACTTAGTGAAATTGCATTATCTTTCTACTATTTGAAAGAAATATTAAACAAGTTAATTAATTGAGTGAGGAAGTCACTCCAAAGAACATACTCAGTTGAACATGAAGGATGATCCACCATTGTTAATATAAATTATGTATTTTACAGGAGCCAAAATATCTCTTGTAAGAAACAAGTAATTTCAAAAGAATTCTGTTGGTATAAGAAACGTGGTCCAAATACACAAATGATAAAGATACCCTTCTCATGTACAACATAATTTTCTGATCTTAAAAGACTCTGTAAATGTTCCAGACATGCCCTTAGTCTGTGCTTAAAGAAACTAGATATGAAGTTCTGCAATGGTATGTATTTGATTTGATTCAATTTTTCTCTTTCCAATCTTTTCTGATTCCTCACTATTAATTTCTTATACCATCCTTCTATCTAATTTTATAATCTTGACTATTTCTCTTCTAGTAAAAAAAATGAATGATCAATAATAATCTATTCATTGTGTGCATCTCTTTTCAGATAGCACCGCTTATATCCTAGCATTGTTTCTCGGGCATACTTGGAGACCATTCATAGTGTTCAAATCACTACTGAATAGCAGAAGGAAAGTTGGAATTTTAATCCATTCATCATTGAAGTTATTATTGTTTATTTTGCAATATTGTCATGAATAAAACCTGCAAATGTAATTAGTAATTGCATGGGAGTGAACATGAATTCTCTCAAGAAAAACAGATCTACGGCATGGGCCAGCTTGCTGATCAGAAGGGATGACCTGCTAGGACAGGCTCCTGGCAACAGATCCCTTCTTTCCCATGAACAATCTCAGATAAGGTAAACTTCCCATCACCTTTTCTGGGTATTGCACCATCATGGAGCTTCATCATCAAATGGTGTGTTTTCTTCTATTTGATCATGTATTGTTCTCTCTATTACAACTGGTTGATAAATTTTATTTTCTACAGTACAGAGTTTATAGACTAGAACATTAGAGGGCCTGTTTTATTAATTTTTGTATTTCTAGTGCTGGCTTAGTATGTTTCAGTTAGTTGAGTGGGAGTGTATTTATGTGTGTATGTGTATATGTACACACACACACACACACACACACACACACACACTAAAGTTTCAATGTCCCATCCTAAACTCATGTGGAAATTGAATTGCCATTGTGATGGCATTAAAAAGTGGAACCTTTGAGAGTTCATTAGGTCATGATAGTTCCACACTCACAAATGGATTAATGCCATTACCATGGTGGTGGATTAGTTATCATGGGAGTGGGCTCCTGGTAAAAAGATACATTTGGCTCCCATCCTATCTGTCTTGCCTGCTCATGTGTCCTTCTGTCTTTTGCCATGGAATCAAGCAGCATGAAGGCTCTCACCAGATGATGATGCCATGCTCTTGGACTACCCAGCCTCCAGACCATGAGCCAAATAAACCTCTAGTGTTTATAAATTACCTGGTTTGCAGTATTCTGTTATAGCAACAGAAAATGGATTGAGACTAGATAATAGATCAATAGACAGACAGACAGACAGATAAAATAATATTTAAAATTTTATTTCTGCTTTAAATGAAACTAAAACACTTCTCATACTTGTAAAATTACTCATATTTATTTGAATCTGTGAAACATTTTTTTGTAAATGTATACTTTTAGATTACTCACAATTTGATGTAACACCCTTGGAAGAATTTATAAATGTCCAAAAATGGATAAAATCTGTACACATTTTTATTTACAAATGTTTCTATTTTCCTGAAACATTCAAGTAAAGCTTAAAAAAATGTGCAAACCAGAGTAAAATCGTTATATAACTTCTTTAAGTTTCAACTATTTGTCATCAGGGTCACCAAATGTCATAGCTGAAAGAGATATTTAAAATATTTTATTCATGGGCTGGCCCGGTGGCGCACTGCTACATGCGCCACTTGGGAGCGTGGTGGCGCTCCCGCCGAGGGTTCAGATCCCACATAAAGACCGGTTCCTGCTCACTGGCTGAGCGAGGTGCGGGTGCGACACCAAGGGTTGCGATCCCGTTGCCGGTCCCGGTCTGGTACGGGCGCAACACTGAGGGTTGCGGTCCGTCACCAGACACGAAAAAAGACAAAAAGGAAAAAATATATATATATATTTTATTCAAACACCTTACGTAAAGAAGATTAAAATGAAGCAAAAAAAGTTATGTGTGATGTCTAAGATCACAAAAGAAGTAAAAAGGAGTTTAGTGAAATTCAGATCTTCAATCACTCTTGTACTAATTTAATATGTATTTTTAGTCCTGTTAAATGCAAGGTTAATTTGTAGATGCTAATGAAACACAATAAAGACAATCTAGATAAATGTTCAAAAGGACATGAGGGAGGGTGATAAAGAAATGATCAATGACAATAGAGAGTAAAATAATCTTTCTGAGTTTTGGTGGTTTTTGTTTTTGGTTTGGGGATGTTTTTGCCAATAATCCCGCTACATTTATTCTGCATGTATACTCATCTAGAGCTTCTTAAATAAATATGTACGTATCTTTTTATGCAAAAAATAAATCCATGCATGCTAATTTTATTGTGGTAAAATATATATAACATAAAATTTACATTTTCCTCTCCTTGAGTGTACAATTCAGTGGCATTAACAACATTCACATTGCTGTGCAACTGTCATCATGATCCATTTCCAGAAAATGAACATTATCCCAAACTAAAACTCTATACCCATTAAAACAGTAATTCCCCCATTAACTCCTCTCCTAGCTACTGGTAACTACTATTCCAAACTTTTTAATAATA